AATTTATGTGGGGGTCATGCTTAACTCGTCATATTGCTAAACCTAACAATGCATTTTCCACACTAATCACTTCAATCATGATCCGCACGTCTTATTTTTGCATTGACTGACACATGATAAAGTTTCGCGCTTTTTTGTGCCTTGCTTAGCACTATCCATCATCTCACACATTGCTGTCATTCATTGTCCACACCCTATGATGAGGACATCGACAAATTCTACCAACAAGTTTATCGACGAAAGAATCGCAGATCTACGGCCACGATTCAACGCCTTTACTTTTGATGCATTCCTTCATGTTATGTTTATTTAGTTTTGTTGTTTTCCAAATTTACCCCTTTGGGGGATTGTCTTGTTATTATAGCCCAGAGGGCAAATTGCGTACTTTTCCTTTTCATGATTGAGACCTATATATAGTGGTCTAATGTGTTGTAAGGATTTTTGGGAATGAATAATATGATATTTTATTTTGCCTTCTTCTTCTTCTTCTTCTTGTGAGTGCACTAGAGAGAAGAGAGAGAGCTCAAGGTGAGCAAGTGCAAGGCCCACCAACCGTTGGAAGAGTCCACGGCTCGTGGTTAGTTTATTTCTATCTTAGTTGTGTTTTCTTTCACCTTCCTTCCCCAACCCATCCGTCGGCCCCTTCCTACCTCTCCACCACCGGTTGCTTAACGTCCCCACCCAAATCCTCCCAAAACTCCACCACCTCAAGCTCCAACCGATGTCCCAATCCCTTCTCCTCCTACCCGGCCACAAACCCTTCCCACTTTCCCCTTGCTGCCACCCCTCACATGGATTCCCACCATCATGATGCTTCCACACATCATCATGGCTTCCTAGATTGAGTCAAGCAAGTTATGCATGTTTTCAATTATTTGAAATTCAAATTTGAATTTCAAAAACTTTCCTAATTTGCAAAGTTCCAAATAAGAAAAGTTTTAAACCTCACTCTGATTTAAATTTAAATTAGAGAGGATTGTTTATTCTTTTTCCTGTTTGACAAACCTCATTTGGAAACTACTTAAAATCATCCCCCACACTTCTCTCTTGATACTTCCGGCCTACCCATTAATGGGTTAAATCCCATTGCTTCCTACCTCCATCCCACTTAAATTTGAATTCAAAATTCAAATGAAATCCCGCCAAATCCACTTAAAATCTGAAATTAATTTCAGATCTTGATTAAATTCTTTCTCCCCGTTTTCTAACCTACCCAATCCTCCACCCAAACGCCCCCCCCCCCCCCCCTTTTTCTTCCCCCCCCCCCCCTTTTCTCTCTACTTTGTCCGCCCCTTTCCCTTGGCTCCTCTCTCTTGGGAAACCCTAATTTGCTCATGAGACTTGAAGCCAAGAGAAGAAGACGATCTCCTCTCCCAACCTCACTGTCATCGGTGCATGTCCGATCCTGAGGTCGATCATGGTTTCGCCTACAACGCCCAAGGGAAATCGACATTCTCCGCTCCCCTTTCTACGAGCCTGACTGGGAGTACGACGAATCGGTGGAAGACTACGTCAATTGTATCATATACTGTTTAGCGGAGACGATTGACCTTCAAAAACCCAAGACGCTTTGGCTAATCATCGGTCACCCGCCGCTTCCTCCACCGCCGTCTACTTCTCCATCAACGAAGTTCTTTGGCCCCACTTCCTAGTGGTAATCTCCTTCCTTGTATGGTTCGTCTTTCTCCGCTAAAGCCTAAGAGTGAAAGAGTGAGAAGGTGCTCAAGGTGAACTACTTGTTATTAAGTGTTGGGTTTTGTTATGAGCATGTAACATTTACTATTGTTGGATTTTTGATTAAATTGTTTGGCTAATCTCGATAGCACTTCTTTGCCTAAGCAAGTTAAAAATTTTGAATTCCGAAATCTATCTTTATTGCAAGCAATAATTTTATATCGGCACGTTTGTTCAATTGATCGTTATAATTTCTCAAGTAACTCCTACAAGTTTCACATCACCCTAACACTCTCCTAGTTCACAGACCCACAGCACTCAGTCTCATTCTGAACCCAACCCAACCATTGCATACGCTATCACAGATCATGTGCGTATATGCATCCTCCTTGACATGGACTTTAACTTGCGCCCATGATATGCTGCTTCATCACTTTTCACTGTATAGTACCTCACCCGATACCTTAGCATTTTGCACTTGTTGCAACATGCTTTTGTCCACTTCATTGTTCACTGCACGTCTTATCCATGCCTGGAGTAGGAATCTTGCAACACATGAGCAAATTCAAGCACTTTCCTCATAATTTGTGACACTGTTTGCTAATTCCTGCCATCCGAGTCCTCTATAGATATATAATTTCCATTAGAATCACAATATTGATTCATTCACAACAACCCTTGATTCCATCATTGGCTAGTGGCCGCTCGCCAAGGACCTGTAGAGCTAGTGATAGCTATAGGTAGATCTTTTAACCTACAAGGAGGCCATAACTTTCTAATATTTGACTCTACTACAATAGGGTATAATTTTTGCACAACTGAGTATTTGGACTTCACTTAAAAATTAGCCCAGCCTTAGCTTTGTAAACCACCTTAATTGGTGACAGTTACGTATGAGTATATTTAATGTCCCACTAGAACTGAATTATTTTCTACATAAAAGCACTGTTTTACTTTTAGAGGAAATTTGATTATTTTGAATCAATATTTGTTAATAATTGCTTCAAGTTAATTTATTTGCATATCATTTAGAAGTCATGTTAGGTTGCTCTTGCATGCTACATCATTAGTTTTTTAAAATAATCATGTCACTCACTCCAGAACAAGTCTAAAATCATATTGATGATTTTCTTGTCTAAAATAATCAATTTAAAGAGCAGATCACCAATAGCTTAATTGGTATGATAAGAAAGTCTCCTATGCTCCCTCTCAAACTCTCTATTTTACCAAATAGAAGGTCTTCAGTGCTCGAGTATTGTCTTAAACTGCTGGGCTGTATAGCAAATGCTCAGGTACTGCAGCAAATAATATTCGATTATGATAACTACCGTGATCGAGTGCTATAGCTGTCACTGGTTGCTTCTTTTCTAATGTTTTCCACAACCTGCAAACAAGGCTAAATAAAAAAAAACACATTTGTTGTTTTCAACAAACTTGAAATAAAAATACAAAAGTTTTCTTGCTGTCGAGCACATGTAGGCTTTCCATACAGGGTAAAAATCACTTGTAGCGTTAAACACTACTTGGGATATCTTTAATTTTTTCATTGATAAATCAAAACTATGATGCACCTACACTTCTCCTCAAAAAGGCGCGCAGTGTCGGACATGTATCTAATACGACAGGTATCCGACACCCCTCCGACATGTAATTGACAGGCCAAAAATGTGTCCGATTAAAAAAAATATTAAATATAAATTGTACACGCGTGTCTTAAATATTTTATGAATTATTAAATATAAATTCTTATATTTAAAATTTTTTACTTTTTAAAATATAAAAACTAAATTTATTATTTCCTATCCACAACAGAAAATCAATCGCCCGCACTCAATACCTCATTCATCGAATATTCAAATTTTCATTTCTCTTTAGCGGTTTACGACTTTGATTTCACAACAATACTCGATGTCATCTCAACATCGACGTCTGACGTCGTTACAACATCAACATTTCAAAACGATCTCCATATCAAAGTCTGTCACTGTCTTGACATTGATGCTCGACGTTAGTAATTTCTACACCCACAATTTGACATCTTATCTTTGTCCGACGCCTTCTCAATATCGACGACGAACACCCTCTTAACATTGACGCTCGATATATACTACATAACATCGATGCTCGACTCTCGACAACATTGTCGTCTTCTCTCTCGATGACTAATAACGACATCGGCACCCGACTCTCGACTTCCTAATATTAGTTATTTTAAGCACAAATTTTAGTTAAATGACTTTGTATTTCTAAATTATTTTTAATATTTATGTTTATTCAATTTTTATATACTATTTTTAAAATATAAAAACTATAATATTGTGTCCAACTCATGTCCGTGTCCTATATTTTCAATAATTGATGTGTCCCATGTACGTGTCGTGTCGTATCCATGTCGCCGTGTTCGTGTCTGAGCATCATAGATGGAAAATCTCAATAAAATTTCTAAAATTAGATGAACTTGGATCGCAATAAGTTCTGAAAAAGGTACAAGTATTTTAGGTTTACTGATTGTATTTTTTACTAATTATCGACATAATGCATTATAAATTATGGATATAATTTGTATATTTAGAATATTATATATTATTATTAAATATATATATATTTAATTTCTGAATAGTAGAATGTAAGCTTTTGAAGATGCCTAACGTGGTTGCTGTGGCATCATAAGCTTTTGAATCACAAAGAGAACGACGTACATTTTATTCCATTAAAGAACTATGAGCCTATATCAGAACATTGTAGATTAAATCCATAACTGAATAATAGTATGCAACAAGCTTGAAGTAGAATAATAGTGCTTTGACAGATTTATTGGGAAGTCATTCAGTATGTATAGATGCCTTTAGAAAAACTAACCTATTTTGAAAATTTATGACTTTTTAGTGGATGCCAAAGTTCAAAAAAAAAAGGTTAATTAGCTGGTTAAACTTGCTTGAGCCAAGCTTAAGCTTGGCCCAATCTTAGAACCAATTGTTAGATGTGCCCGGCTTGGTACAAAATAATCTTCAACTAGTAAAATTAAAAAATTAATTCATTTATGAATTTTGGCAGAAGTTATGCAATTGGCTGTTCACCTACCATCAACCCTAAATGGTTCTGATTTGAGCTTCGAACAAGCAACATAATTTTTGTTTGTATTTAAATTTTTTTCTTGTTTTGTTGACATGCTTAAGTTCACTCTCCAAGTATTACTATTCCGTTTATGTACAATTTTTAGTAAATACGCCTCTAACTATGCTTTCTCCTTGTTGATTATTTTTATTGCCTTTGAATTTATTATATTTTTAGTTCATTATTGTTGACCATGCTTAACTTTTGACTAGGTCACTGGATTTTCTGTTGGGGGTCGTGTTGTTGATGGGAATGGTGGAGTCGGTGGAGCAACAATTATTGTAGACGGGCAGCAAAAAGCCACCTCAGATAGTGAAGGATTCTATAAACTTGATCAAGTATGGCCTTGTTTCCTAATCCACTTTCCATGCTTTTGTAAAACCTTAAAGAAGGCTTTTTACTTGATCTTATATATATATATATATATAATGCCTTATAGTAGAAAATAATGGCCCTTCTCCTTCTATCTAATTTTTTTTTTATGCTTTTACCATTTTATAGTTATGGTATAGTGGAAGAACAGAAGGAGCCGCATGGGCGGAATTTGATATGAGACGTATATATTTAGATATATTATATGATAAATGTTAATGCTGTAAATACCTTATTATGATGCTTTCTTTTAAGAGGGGAGTGTGAGAATCCAAATGAATAATATAAAATTTTGGAGGACCAAATTTTTTTAGGAGGGAGCGTATATGAATCCAAATATTTAATTTAAAATCTTAAAATTTGAATTTAAATCTGAAATTTTATTTGATTCATTTTATCTTGAAAAAAATGGGAATATGGCAGCAATAATAATTAACTTAATAATTATACTTATCTTATGGGTCTTTGCTAGTTTAATAACAATTAATGATGGGTTTATGAATTTAGAATTTTTTGTTTATGCAACCATGTTCGATAATGAATAAATGGTTTAATGTGGGTTTGTTAGTAGCTTATTCATGCTTCTGTGTTAAATGGATGAATAGTTATGACCATATGTTATAGGGATTGTTAGGTTTGAAGTAAGAGTGGTGTAAATGTTTCAAATGCAAGTGTTTTGAAAATATTTGTGTTTGATTTGAAGTAAAATGAATCCAAAGTAAAATTTTAGTATATTTGGAATTCATCCTCTAGTTTAATTTTGATGTATTTGAAAATCGTTAAAATGATTTTCTAATACACTGTAAATATTTTGCCATTTCCCATCGCAAACCATTGCGGCTCGTTGTTGCGGCTGGCCGTCGGTCACTGTCGCCACTTTTCGCTTGCCGTTGGCTGCCATCACTGTTTCTAGCCGCCGCTGTTAGTATAGCTTGACACTAGCTGCTGTGGCCGCTACCATTTACTGACTACTAGCCACCACGATCATCGGGTTTTAGAATTGGGTTTTAGACTGCATTCATTTGCTTCAAGCCAAATAAAAAAAAATTGCATGCATTTATCATTCACTCATCCAAACAGTACTAAATATTTTATATGCACTGCATTTATTTTATATTGTATTTTTTTACTCTTGCATACTTTTTTCATCTAACCAATGACCTCTTAAGCATGAGGTGTTAATAAGATATACATTGAGTCATTTACAGTAAAGTTCAGTGAATGATTGCTGGAGTGTCTAGGAAGAATTTTTTATAAGCAGAAAATTTGATTTTAGTTGCGGGGATCACTATCTTGACTTAGTCAAACAATTTCAAATTGTTAGGTCAGAAAATTGCTGATTTTTAAATGTTTACTTTATTTTGAAAAGGATGTTATGTATCATCTAACATATGTGATTAAAGAAAGGAAGATATTATTAGGGTAATTAAGAGGGTTTAGACATTTTAGAAGATTAAACATGATTATAGTCCAAATCCAGCTCTACTGGCTAATGGCTACTTTATGCACATTAAGCCTATGTTTTAATTTATATTTAGGTTTTCTTTATCAAGTGTGGGCTTTAGGAATTGAAGGAGAGCTTGAGAGAGGCTGAAGGCTTGAATAGGATTGGCAAAAGATTTATTCTTATTTTTTATTGTTAATAATTTTCTTTAGCGTAATAATTAATAATTTAAGCTTTAGAGGATGGCCTGTTCATAAAACATAGTGTATAACGGCTAGTAACCTTCAATAGCACCTTGTGTTGTAGAGCAATAGATAAATCCTAAAAAAGGATGTATGCAAATTGCAATTCATGATACATGCATGAGTAAAATAAAATAACTACTATTAACCTATGATGCACAGACACAGACATGGCGACACGGATACGACACGGACACAGGACACGTCAGTTATTGAAAATATAGGACACGGGTTGGACACGATATTATAGTTTTTATATTTAAAAAGTAATGTATAAAAATTAAATAAGTATAATTTTAAAAATAATTTGAAAATAATAAGTCATTTAACTAGAATTTGTGTTTAAAATGACTAGTATTAGGATGTCGAGAGTCAAGCGTCGATGCCATTTATCAGTCACCGAGAGAGGAGATGAAAATACCTTCACTGCCAAAAAGAAATGAAAATGGGAATATTCGATGATTGGGTTTTAAGTGCGGACGTTTATTTGGTGTGTGATAGGAAATAAAAAATTTAGTTCAAATCCCGCAAAATACAAGAAATTATATTTAAAAAAATTCAAAAAATATTTAAGATACGCGTGTCGGACATGCGTGTCCAATTTGTATTTAATATTTTTTAATCGAACACGTTTTCAGTGTGTCTGACACGTGTCAGAGGAGTGTCGGACGAGTGTCGTGTCGGATACGGTGTCGGATACTGCACGCCTCTTTGAGGAGAAGTGTCGGTGTGTTGATCTCTGTATAAGGAACCAAAAGGGAAGAAAGTAGAAAAACATGCATACGTACCTAGTACCCATCGGATACTCGGATCCACATATCCTGCCGAAAACCTCCGCAAAACTCGCAAGAAATCCCGCTATGTCACTGTTTATCCGGCGCCGCTCAGGGAAATCTTCCTAAATCTCACGAAAGCTCCTCGATCCCACCCCTACCCTCTCTATTAAAAAGCGAACGAAGGCTTGATCTCTCAGCTCCTTCCGATGCAAAACCTCCCTCCTCCCTTTGCTTCTTTCGGTCCAAAGAAAGAGAGAGAGAGAGAGAGAGAGAGAGAGAGAGAGAGAGAGAGAGAGGCAGAGGTAGATCTCCCTACCTGAAGCCAAAATCCCGAAACTCCAGTCCCTGTCGAAGCCTTCTCCCACTCTCGGCTTCTTCACACGAAAGCCACGATCCAAACCAAAGCCTCCACGACCTCAGCTCTTCCGACCTAGACCATCCACAAACCTTCCGCCTCTTCCCACACCCAAACTCCTCCATCCCGTTCGAAGCCAAGCTCCGACCTCTACAAGCCTGACCTCTGCTCTAGCTTCCCCATCCGAACTCCTCATCTTACCCCATCAGAGCCGCAACACAAGCCTTTCCCCTATCTCCATTCATAGTCTTTGAACCGGCCGAACCCAAGTAGCCATTATCTGAACCGAATCCATCAGGTTCAGTCGAAATCTCTCCACTACCTAGACCCGAGCCCTACTTAGCCCATTTGAAACTCAAGTTAACCCAAGATAATCCCTACCCACCTAATTATTGCTTGTTATATTTGGTTATTATAATTATTATTAATTATAATAATCTTGTTATTATAATTAGTGATTATTATGATAATTAGTTTATAATTATTAATAATTATAAATAACTATTAATTATAATGATTATGTTATCATAATTATTAAAAATTATAGTTATTGTTAATTATAATAATTATATTATTATTATTATTATTAATTATTATTTAAAAAAAAAGAAGAAGAAAGGTATCTCTTACCTCGATTTTGTGCACTCTTTCGTTGCTGCCCCGCAAAGGTATAAAATTTTTCTAACTTAAAAATCCTTCTCTCGTGGCTTGCGACGGGCCGACAAATCCCTTACACGCTTACGTAGCGTAGTAGGGAGGAAAACCTGCACGGCGCTTGCGACAACCTAACTAAAAAATCCTTCCTCGATGCTAGCGACGAGCGGACAAACCCCATACGCGCTCACGTAGCGTAGTAGGGAGGGAAACCGGTGCGACGCTCGCAATGAGGCTGGTAATCCCAGGAGTGCTCATGTAGCACGAGGGGGACCAAAAAATAATAAGTACCTCCAAACACTCATGTAGTGTAGAGGGGGGAAATAAATTGTGCTCTTTAATAACACACCTAAAAACCCTTAAACGCTCATGTAGCAGGCGGGGATAAAATAAAAAAAAATGGAACTGTGGTGTCATTTGATACCTACCTGAAACACTCATGTAGTATCGAGGGGAAGACTGCCTCTTAGTTTTTCTCCTAAACGGGGGAGACGCTGGAGGTTGCCAAAATTTTATCTGAAATGAGATAAGGACTTGAATCAAAATGAACTTGGACTTGGACTTGATTGAACTTAAATGACCTTGGCACAAGGACATTTCTTGGACTTGAATCAAAACTCAACCTACTTGAACATTTGAACTCAAGAGGATATAACCTGAACTACAAGGAGATTAATATAATATTCAAAATAAAGTTATAATTTTTGAGATAACAAAGTACAAATTAAATGCAAAAGAAGGGTACACAAGACTTGTAATGAATGCAGAACTTGCAAATATCATTCACTCACTAAATGCTGATGAAGACTCATGCAACTGTCTAACTTGAAACAATTGCAAAGGCCATGAGAATATGTTATGGATTCATTAACAATTATTATTTGTATGCAAATAATCAAGTGAGTTTTCAAGTGATGAAAATTGGATGGTATATGCAGTTGGTTGCCATTGATCGTGTAGAATGCACAACAAAGGTGATCACCCGTGGAGAAGGATTCCTCATGAGCTCGGTAAAACCACCAAAGGAGATTTTGATGAAAATACCAGTGAATATAGTAGATCATTAATCGGCTTGCATATAAATGATGACGGGAATATGATGCATGTATGATGAATCCCCCGTGCATATGGATATTCATGCGATGTGAATATTTGCAAGTAAGGGCAAGAATCTACAACACATAAGGACTCTAACAAGTTTCTATAGGGTAATCCTTCGCTCTTATAATAATCCTATCTATAAACAGTGATGGTGGATGCATCATCAGAGCCTCTATAAGCAAGAGATAGAAGATCGTGGTGAATACATAAACTTACCGTTAATGGTGAGAATGCACCTTATGAACAATAATATACATAGGCGGGTGATGATCAACATGTTGTGAATACCACAACACCCCTACAATCAATCACTATTTAATGTTAAGCAAGTACATTGATCCGTTATGGGCAAAGGCGGATAATATACAACAAAATGTAAGCATTTTCAAATCGCCAGCAGAAGACCCATTTTGTGTTCAATATGTCACGGGCAAGCAAGGAGGGAAGAACTACAACAAATGTAACGAAGAGATATAAGCATAGGAACTCTTACGAGCTACTATATAAGATCCTTCGTGCATCCAATATGATATCCACAAGCAAACGCTAAAAAAAAAAGAGAAAGACTACAACAAAATGAGCTCCTAGGAGCCCTCGTAGAAGATTCGTCAAATTCCCAAAATACCCTCGCACATGCACTGTATTTTGTATACACATAGATGCACAAGGGGTAAGTGTAATCAAAACCTGCATGGGCCCCGTCGAACATGTGGTGGAAACACATGAGACGTCTAGAGATGATACGCGAGTCAATAAATTTGAACCCGATCCTCCTAAGCAGGTTGATAGAAGTCGACAAGTTTCAATAAATAATTACAAAATACCCCCAAACACTCGCATGGGCCCCGATGAACGTGTTATGGGTACACACGTCAATAAGTGAATTTAGATTCGAATCCGATCCTCCTATGCGGATTAATAAGAGTCGACAGTGTTCGAACCATCAAACAAATATACAATTGTGGTGACTGATATATTTGTCTTAATACATTCATATTAGGCCTTCAAGTCATATAACAATAAGAATTCACTAACAAAGACAAAGCCTACGAAACCCAATCCCCTATCGACAAGGTTCAAACTTTAAATGAAAATAGCCCCACACATCGATAATGGCCGAGTTGAATGAAAAATCTCAATTGGAGGGGTTCATAAATAATTTCAAATGCCATCCCAAATGCTCAAAAGTTCAAAAAATTCCAAAATCAATCAAGTCCAAATATTTAAAACTGAAATCCAACCATTAAACACTTAAAGTAAAATTCATCCACTCTCCGCAGCAGTTTGCCGAGGTGGACAAATTGAAATTTATTTCAGCTCATAAAGAGCTAATGTCTAGTCGAAAATATCAGTAGGATGCATTCTTAAACAATCTTCTGCTAATAAGGACGTGGTACGTGTCATCTGATCGGCGGTTTTGCCGCCAAATGACACCGCAGGATAAACGATCATGACTCAGGGCCCTTTGAATCGAGTGGTTTTGCCGCCAAATGGCACTACTAAATACCGGTTATGGGTAGAGCCAATACGCTCCTTAGTGTTATCAAATCCTTGAGATATGAATCAATAAGATATGATCGATAGGACACAAAGCCCTCCGTTAGCTATGGTGGATTCAAATTTATCCCCTTAGGCAAATATTTATCCTAGGTCTACAAGGTACCCTTGGACGAAGCAACCCATGGCTCCCGACAAGGATTCTTCTGTCAGGTTGGGTCGACTACCTACTCTGACTAAGTAGACCAGGGACCATGATGGCCCGGGACGACGGAACCATGGGATTTTGATCGGGTCTATCATCCATTCCCCCACCATCCGCTTTAAGTGCATAATGATGAAATTTTCAATTTTAAATATTAATCCTTCAAATCCCAACCTATGCTGCTACTATATGCCAGATAACACGTATATACTATGTATCTGATTGACAACTAGCCTTAATTGAAAGTTCTCTCTCGTTATCGGGAGGGGTAATTAACTATAGGGGCTTGCGCCTGTAGGAAACCAGAACTCATATCATAAAGTCCTCGCAAAATGAGGGCGAAATATCTGGGTAGTGTCTTATCTACAAACCCATTTGCCTTCCAAAATTTACCCCAGAACTTAATTCTGTTAAAACTCCCTCGCCAATGAGAAAACAAAAATAGTCGGGCGGAGGCCGGGGCCGAATTTTCGGTGCCCACAAGGTGCATCATAGCTATTAACATGATAAATGTACTACGGTATGATATTTAAGGTTATTTATCATTGTACATATGATTGCAAATAAATTTTTTTGCAAGGTTCTTAAAAAACATTATAATAAGATCTGATAGAGAACGAAAAATGATCATGACAAGTGTGTGATGTGATAAGCTTTGTGAAGAAGATTGCAAATTAGCTCTTATTATGATGGTGTAAAATCATGACAGCTTAATACTATTCATCATAAATTGTACAGTATACTACAATCACCCGTGTAAAAAAAGAAGTTTTATCAAACAGTCTAAGATCAAACAGCAGTTGGTGTCCATTGCCCATTGCCTGTGAAGATTCTCTATTAAGGCGCCACTGGGAGACTCTCATTTACAACTCATTAATTGGGAAGGCATATGACATTGAGGGTGGCGTCTTGGCTCTCTTTAGCATTTAAGGTTATGAGGTACTATCATGTTGATAGCTTTGATTTAAAGAGTAGAACAGAGCCAAATAACAATTGCTTTTGTTATTTTTATTAATTTGGAGGGTTACAAAAAGGTCTCAATTTTAGCTTTGTTTTGTCAAATCAGCTTTTTATATTTATGTTTTTTTATGTTATAATATTCTACACCTACCCAGGATGCACTTGAATTATTTAGACGGACTCGACTTATCTTCTCTTGTACTCTATTCTGACCGTTCAGGTTACTTCTAAGCATTATACAATTGTGGCTGAAAAAGACCACTACAAGTTCAGTGCTTTGGAAAACTTTTTGGTAACTTATTACTTCATTTTCTAGATTAACATGTTAAAACCTTTTGATCTTACTGTTTATACTCAACTGCACCCTTATATTGCAATACGAATTGTATTAATAGCATAACTTATTATGTTAGGTTCTTCCAAACATGGCTTTTATTAATGATATTAAAGCGATCTACTATGATGTTTGTGGTTTTGTTCGAGTGATTAGCCCAAATTCTATTGCTAAGGTAAATACTCTCTCTTGTATTGTGTTGTTGACATCATTCGAGAGTTAAAAAAAATGTTGTTCTCTATGCAATTTATGGATAATTGTAGGTGGCATTAACACGTGGACCTGACCATGTCGAGCCTCAGACAAAACTGACAAAGGAGAACGGAAGCTTCTGCTTTTTGGTGTGTATAACATTGTTTTATTAGTTTATAGCCTGGTACTGTTCTTGCTCATTCTTAGTTGATTTTTCCCTCTTTCTTTCCTAATTGTATGATGGCATGTTTCTGTTATGTAACTAGAAATGCCTCTGAACTGCTGTGCCATTTTGCTCATCTTTGGTGGTATAAGGCACACGTGAATAGATTACTTGCAAAAATGATGTTTTTTGAGAGTATATTGTGACCTTTTTAGCATTGTGAAGTTAACAGGAGCATTTATCTTTTTGGCGTATTATTTGAGAGGTTTAGTACATGTTTTGTGAAGTTAACAAGAGCATTTTCGTTCTTTCGTAGATCCCATCTCATCCATATTTAATTCATAAAAAAAGCTTAAATAATTGATAAAAACTAAGAAAACATCTATAGTGACATCACTGAGAGGATCTTTATTTGAGTTTTCATCATAACAAATTGGTCTCTCCCTTGCTTCATCCTGTGAAGTCCAATAACTCACAATCTTCTTCTTCATTTATTTCAATCATCTTCTTCTTTATTCTTCATTTTTTCATTGGAGTTGCATTGATGTGGACCTCAAGACGAGTTTGATATTGCACAATTTTAAACAATGCATGTAATAGTCAATGAAACAGTAACCTATCATATGATTAGCGAACATTATTTCAACTGTATTTTTTAAGAGCAGTGATCAGTAATAAGTAATCATATACAACAGGTTAGTAAACTCTATCATTTTTATACCCGTTTGTTATAGAACGATTTCAATCTATCTCAGTTTAGAAAATCTATATACCTGTCATATTCATATGCACGACGTATAGTGTCGATGCTATGCATGTATATGTGTGAATAATTTATTGAGGGTGAAGTAGGGTTGTTATGTAATGTTGGATAAGTGAGATTGTAAATGAAAATCATCTCCCAAAGTTTTTGTTGGTTTTCTCTTATCAAGAAGTCTCCTCGGTTAAATGTCCTAGTAGAGCTCAACACAATTTAAATGGCAAGAAATGCTATTAGGCTTATTGAAGTAGTTGTCAAATTGGGGTAAGGGTATGGTAGGTTCAAGAGAGGTATAACTTTAGGGGAGGTTATACCTATTGTTGAAGGGTGAGATAAAAAAGGACAGCACCTGCCCTTGATTTTTTGATGTTTTTTCATGATTAAAATGTTGTGGTAGATTTCATAAAGGAGCTTGACACGATTTACATATTAATAAAGGCTACGAGGCTCACCTAAAATATGTTATTGTAGGGTGAAGCACAATTTATGTTGTGGAGATATGAGAGAAATAGAGTTCAAGAAGGTTATATCTACTGCCGTTTCATTTTAGTTGATGCCATCCGTGGTTTTTGAAAGTGACATGGCACAATCAACTTGGGGGTGAATTGATAATTTAAAAACTTTAACTAAAAAATTTAATTAAAGAACGAAATAACGTGCAACAGAATATTAGTGAAACTTTAAAACAAAAATTATAATTGTTTTCTTTTTTGTTTTTTTAGAGCAAGAAAATCATTGGTTATTAGTTTGAGAGCAATTTAAAAATAAAGATTTATATTAATAGAAATCTAATGAAAAGTTTGTTTTAAAATTATTTCTTGAATGCAATCACAACAAGTTATACCATAAATCTCAAATAATTAAATTTTGCAAGAAATAAAGTATTGAAATGTAAAAGAAAAGAAAATTGAGATTTTTATTGTCATTTTGTTGAACTATATCTACATCTACTCTCTAAAAGTCCTCATCTTTGAGAATTACATTAGTAAATGTTCATTTTGCACTCTACAAGGCAAAGAAGTCCTTTTTCATTCCTAGTTGGAGAATAAACTTCACAAGCTCTTCTCCCGAAAATCCTAAAACCACCTGCTTCTCGCAATGGCGAGATGCCGCTCCTCGCAAAGGTGGAGATGTGCTATCCTAGCCTCCTCGGCTAGTCACAAGTGTTTTTCCTAAAGACTTTTTCACTAAAGCTTCTCTTTAAACGTTCCAAAATACAACCTAGAGGACCAAAGTGCATGCCAATCGTGTGAATCCCTCACACAACCCATGGCTCCCTCAAGGAGCAACCTCTCAATCTCACTATCTCTCTTCCAAGTGGATTGGAAAACTCTAACAAGGAAAAATACATCTTCTTCTTCGAAGACTCTCTCTTAGGAAAAAATGTCTCTTCATACTCACTTGCTTTACACACTTCGCATATCGACATAATCAGATTAGGCTATTTAAATAAAACCCTAATTTTAAATTTAAAAAATTGATAGTATAATACGATATGTGGATTGTATTGTTCGCTTAGTTCAATACCCAATTTTAAGTTCTGTTAGATTTGACTGTAATATCTGAATCGTACGATACACTAACTTGAATTGTATCTAGGATCGTCCAAGACAAACTAATATTCATCCACCAATATGCTGTCAGATTGTATTAGGACAACTTGAAGCGAACATTACAATATGTAATCAAGATTTGATCTTGATTTGATTGCTTGATTGACGGTCCATATTAGGCAACATTCATTAATACTCATACAATATGAACATGTTCATGCAACACGATTAGGACAAATTTTAAAATTCAAAATTTTCTAAATTTGGAAACTCATATTTACGGGCAGATATTTATTAATATAATTACATAATTGATTTAATTTTTGAAACATTTCATCGTACAATACGATCTCAATCGTATAGTACGATTTAATATGACACCGTATAGTACGATTTAATAAAAAAATCAACTGTTTACTTTTCATTCTCACTTGTGAATGTGTGCTCGATTGTCTTGCCAACATTCTCTTACATATATAATGGCTCAAAAAAAAAAAAATACAGACTCTTATTACAAATTCTGACTAGAATCAATCTTACAATTTCTTAAATTATTATTTTTTACTTGGCTTGAATGTTGTACTTGAAATATTAGTAGCACATAAAAACACTGTATATATTTCAGAGAATAATAAGTGATCTAACCAATAATGTTTGTAATAATCAAAACAACAGGTCAGGCTCACAGATTTCAACAATTTTTCATTGGTGTGGGCAAAAGAGATCAGGTGAGTGATGAGAGAAGGTGGTTTCTATGTTTGATGCAAAGTTGGATGCGTACAGGATTTCGTGTGAAGACTGTTGGGAGAAATGGTGAGTAGTGCATTGATGAAATGAATTGTTTGAGAAAGAATTAACAGGCATGGGCATGCAAGTCCCATAGGGCAGAGGAAGCTAACAAACAGGAAAGTCATGTTCGGGCAATTTGGCGAAGAAAAAACTACTCGAAGAAAGGTGCAAAGCAATTCAGACAAAGACTGATGAAACTAAAGATATGAAACATAAAAAATATTTTGTTCTTTCAAATGAAATGATAAGAAATTCTCAGATTTGATTGATTTATTTTTCTGAGGTGTGAAGCAATGAAAAAGGCACATCAAAGAAAAAAATTCTTCTTTCAAAAACTTTGTCAGCTTTGGATAAATGATCCTAGGGAATAGGTGGTCATCATGGCTAGGGATGTCATTAGAGGGATTGTTGAGATGCAGAATGATAGACTTGAAATTCTGCATGGGTTATCAGGGGATAGATGTGGAATTGTGGGCTATGAATCTTGGAAGATGTCATGATGAGAATTAGGAAAATCGATAAATCATATCGTAGTTTCATGCACAAGTGGAGGTGATTTGTAGAGCTAGAAGTTGTGCTTTAGGTGCAATGCCTGATTTGAGATCAAGTTAGTTCATTGAGGATTTTGTTGGCCCTAAACATTAATTAGGCATTACCTAAAAAATGTTGAATCAGATGAACCTTTAAGATTAATCAAGTTCTAATTAAGAATTGAACTTCTACTTAGGTTAATTAAACCCTAATTGGGTCATTGCGCTTTAATAAAGATAATTTAATTTTTTTATATTTGTTGTTGGTTTTTGCAATGCTTTTGGGCTGCAGTTGCTGGATCTCTCTACCTTTTTTTCCTCTTGTGTTGGTAGCTCTTTCTATCTTGGAGACTCATTCGACCACTCATATTCATCCAATCCCTTCCCTTCTATTGCTTGCAATTTTTGAAACATTTTGACTTTTCTCAGCAGACTTAAATTGATGTGCTCACCGTTAGTAGCCATATTGAAATATTCTGTACATTTTTCTGTAAAGAAATCAATGAAATTTATTTTACCAATTCTCGAAGTTCCCTCTCTCCCTCCCATTAGTGAAGACAATCTTGCCCATGGTGTTTAGCATCTTGAGGATTTTGATGGGAGCATTATGAGTGAAGATGTTATGATGGATACGAGATTTGAAATCCTATTTACTAGATGGACTGAAAAAAAAAAGTATTTTGTCCTTCCCAATCTCCAGGCAAGAAGGGCCAGATGAGTCCTTAGTTCATCTTTGTTGTTTTTTGTTCTATTGGGTGGTTCATCCTTTAGCTTCATGCATTATATATTTGTCCTCGTATAAATTCTTTGTACTTTGACAGTTCTTAGTAATTGCCCTCTATGTACTCATGTAATTATTTTGTTATAATATTGCATTAAAAATGCTAATTTAAGCCCTAATTTCATAGTTAGGGAGCTTAAGCTATAAAGATTGAACCTTTCTCAACTAAGCTAACTCGATTGAAACTAAATTCATTGAATTAGGGTTATAGTTTATTAATACTCGGGATGATCAAGCTAGTTTGATTGACCGCAATTATTGAGTAAACAATGTAATTAGGTAGAGTTGATGGGTAAATTTCTTCTAAATACTATCGATTCTTACTATTGATGGGAAACCTCATTATGTGGCCGTTGATGTTTTTCAGTGCAAACCAAAAATATACCTATTATTATTATTAATTGACATGTAATTAGACTTGCCTTAGACATCCTAGTATGAGTTTGATTTTTCAATAATAAATATATAATCGTAGATTTCTTTATCAAGAGGAAACCTGCTTTAAAGATTTATTTTATATGGTTTATCCTTCATGTTTACTTTAAATTACTTGTTGCTTATTTTCTTTAATTA